TAAACAGTTAAAAAAAAAAAAAAAAGCTGGGCACAGTGGTACACACCTGTAGTCCCAGCTAGTTGGGAGGCTGAAATGGAAGGGTTGCTTGAGCCCAGGAGGTGGAGAATGCAGTGAGTCATGATTGTGCTACTGCACTCTAGCCTAGGTGACAGAGTGAGATTATCCCCCGCTACCCGCCACCCGCCACCCACAAAAAAAAAAAAAAAAGAAAGAAAAGACAGAGTGAGTAATTCCAACTGGAAATCAAAGGAATCTAAATCTGGAGCCTGGATTAGGATGTTACCAGTAGATGTTAAAAGATAGGAAAATCTAAGTTACTTCTCAAGGAAGAAAATAGCCTGGGTTGAATGAAAAAAGACTAAACTGATTATGGTATCTGGCTCAAGGGATTAGAAATCCAGTAGTTTCTAGCAGGCAAGCACAGAAATGGGAAATGGGCAAGGTAGCAAAAAGTGCTGCTTAAGGATAAAAGATGATGAACTCAGACTTCATGCATCCAATATGAACGGCATGAGACTTCCAACTGGAGGGTCCTGTGAGAAGCAAAGAGAGTGACCAGGATACAAGTAAGGGAGATTTCTAGGTCTGCGGCATAGAATAAACAGCAGGAGCACCCTTTTGAAGAAGAGAGACAGAGTGTCACCCAGGAAGTGGCTTCAGCCTCCTATGCAGGTTTAGGGACCCCTAAGCCACTAGTGGAGGGTGGCCCTCCCTAAACTGTGCCATTATCTGCATCCATTCCTGCATGCCTGATTCTCACTCACTTACCTGGACAGAAAGGTCTTTGGATTTCTCCCTCTGATATCCATGGCTCTTCTCCTTGCTCCAATTTGAAGATCACTTCTGGCTTGGAAACTTGACATCCTGCTCATGGGTAAATACATAAGATTTGGTTGTTTGTGCAAGTGGACAAATAGTCCTCCTAAGGACAGGTTCGTACTAGTCCTTAATCCTCAGGAACTCTGAAGGAAAAAAGGTGCAACTTAAGGAGTCATGCAATCAAACTGCCTATTTCCAGTTCTGCAAAATAAAGACTTTTTACCTAAAGAGCAGGCTCAAAACCCTGTAAAGCTGGGTCCCAATGAAATGAACCAGCTCTGAACCCTGACACTCTGTTCACAGTTAACTAAGCTATGAGCACCACAACTTTAGAAGCTGAGGAAGGAAAGACCCACCAACAGGCAAGACACTCAGAGAGGTGGTCCTTACCAAGAGAAACCAGGTGGCTATAGTTCTCCAGCATCACATCCCTGTATAAGCTCCTCTGAGCAGGGTCGACGTGGTGCCATTCTTCCTGGGTGAAGTCCACAGACACATCTTTGAATGTCACTGACTCCTGTAGGATCACATGCCTGCTCAATAAGGATCAACCCAACAAATGTTCCCATGGTAATACGGGGAACATAAAAAGCGGTGATCATATGTGCTAGCCTGAGGGGCAATGTTGGTTAGGTATGTTAGTTGTTTATTTTTACTTAGGAAGTAAGAGAGAGAGAGAGAGAGAGAGAGAGAGAGACAGAGAGAGGATTCACCTCCTCAAGGTAGGGGAGGGGGCCAGAGCTAAGAAAACATGGCAGCCATAGCTCACAGAGCCACGTGGACACACCAGAGCTTAACAAAACAGTGGCTAGTTGTTTATTTCATTTTGCAAAGGATCTAGTATGTTAGGTAGGAAACTCATGAGGGGCAACTTGTCCTGCAAACCAGTATCCTCATTTAGCTGACTTCTTAGTTTCCTTCAGAGCCAAACCTTTTTATCCAATCGCCAATTCCTTGCTGTCCATTCACACTTTCTTTGTTATAAAATCCCAATATGGTGGGTAGTAAAGGCACTACCCCCATAACCAATCCTACTTTACTACTCAGAAATAACTACTATCAACAGTTTGGGGTATACTTTTACAGAATCCCTTGTCCGTATTTTATACACACATACACATATACCATAACCATACCACACCCACATCCTCAAAAAAGAATCTTGTTTTGTGAAATACCATATATATTGTTCTACAACTTGTTTTTGTTTTTTTTTTTTGAGTTGCAGTCTTACTGTGTCACCCAGGCTGGAGTTCAGTGGGTTCAGCCTTCCAAGTAGTTGGAATCATAAGCTGGCTAAATTTTTTAAATCATTATTTATTATAGAGACGAGTTCTTGCCAAATTGCCCAAGTCGGTCTCCCCCACCCTTCACTAGGCTGTAGCATGCTGATCTTGATGTTCCTTGACTACATCAAGCCTGTTGTTACCCTGGCTCTTTTGTTTGTTGTTCCCTAATCCCCTTGGTCTCCACATGATTGACAACTAGTTATTTAGGTATCATCTCAAGCATGACCTCTTGGGAAAGGTTGTCTTAGCATCACCCTCTCACATGCTTTGTGCAAATATGCTAGGACTTCTCCAGCCTAGCTAGCTAGAATGAGAATGGCTAGGTCAGAAGTCTTTTCCTCCTTCTTACCCCATTCCAATCACTGCTTCCTCCACCACCCTGTGGCTGAGGTGTCCCATGCCTCCCAATTGTTAGTTGTGACACTTGAGAACTGATCTTTGTCTTGCTTCACTTGGCCTTGTTAAGCAATGAGACACCTGTGACTATGGCCTCCCTGAAATATCTCCTTTGGTCCTGATTAGATTTCCAACTCAGGAAGTATACAATAAGGTATGGTAGACAATTAGTGCAAAGCAGAGCTGAGTGAGCTGGAGCAGTGAGAGGTTTCACAGAGGTTTCAGCCTTATCCTGTGCTCTTCTCTTGCTTGCTTAGCTACAGCTGAACTGGACTCTTTCCACTTTCTAAATGGTTCTTCCCCTGCCAAACCCCCACCAGTCTTTCTCTCACATCAGGTTTTGGTTGGCAGAACTTTAGTCAATCCTCCTATTATGTGCTTTTAGAACACTTGGGACACCCACCATTATGCAAATAAATCTAGTAATCTATTTAATGCTTGTTTTCCTAGATAGTACGCATTATGAGGGCAGGGACTATACTTTTGCTTTTTTTAACTCTAAAATATCATTGTCCAGCAAGTGCTTGCCCTACACTAAACATCTGTTTTCTGACAGAGTTGAGACTTAAGGAGATGAATGAGATTTGAGTTGTGAATAAGACGGGAGTGGCCCCTTTTCCCACTGAGTGAGGTGCATGAGCACACTCACACACATTAGCTCCTCTGCCTCATATTTCTGCTCAACACTATAGCTGTGTCTCTGAACAGGGTAGGGTTGAAATAAGGGCCATTTTTTTGACCAGTGTCAGGGATCTGATTGACAAGATATTTACTAGGTGCCTGGCTTTACTATAAACACTGTGGTAGACTAAAAATGCAAAAGAAAAAACACTGCAGTCCTTGAACAAGTTTCAGTTTATTTTAAGTGTTATTTATTAGAGCACAATATGAGATAATACACAGTGAGGAGAGGTGTTGCAGGCACTCAGTGCAGGAAAGACTGGGAGGGAAATTTCAAGGTAGGCTAAGCGATAAGCACCATTTGATGAAAGGCATCATTTGGATGGGAGAAGAAAATGCGGGAATCCAATCCAGGAATTAAGAAGCTTGAGAAGGGAGGTTGGACTTGGGAGAGGCAAGACCAGCAGGAAAAAAGGGGCTAGATCAGACATTTGAAATGTTTTTGTAGGTACCACTGCTACAGGGTCTTGCAGTGGGAGAGAGAGAATGGAATCAACTTCTAGACCAGACATTCTAAGTTAGGCGGTGAGAAGTAAAACCAGCTTCCTTTGCTCAGCTGGTTTAACACATGGCCAAATTTTATTCTGCTTTCCCAAAGAGTCTGCACTAATGGTAAAGTACGTGTTAACCTGCAAACCAACGTCTACTCCAAGCCACTCATCATTTCTTACCTTGACAGGACAATCACTGGCCTCTGTTCTTCAACCATTTTTTTTTTTTAGTTGGAATCTCACCTGTGGCTCAAGCTGACGTGCAGCAGCATGCTCATGACCTCTGCAGTCTCAATCTGCTGAGCTCTGGCAATTCTTCCGACTCAGCCTTCCAAGTAGCTGGAACTACAGATGCGTGCCACTATGCATGGCTGAACTTTTTGATTTTTATTGTAGAAACAAGGTCTCGCCAAGTCGCCCAGGCTAGTCTCAAACCCCTGGGCTCGGGCAATTCTCTTGCCTACATCTTCCAAAGTGCTGGGATTACAGGCATGAGCCACCATGTCCAGCTTGTTCTTCAACTCTTGATCTCACCAACCCACTTTTTCCTGGGCACTATCAGAGGCATTTCTCTAAAATATACACTTGGATCATGCTTCCAATGCCTTATTTCTTATTGCTTTCCCCTATTCCAACCACCCTCACCCTAGTCCATGACATCACCTCTTACCTGAACTATTGCTACAAACTCCTAACTTGTCTCTCCTTTTCTACTCTTGCCCTCTCCCAAGATCATTTTCCATATGATAACCAGAGTGATCTTTTCTTGAGTTGGAGTCTCACTCAGTCACCCAGACCGAGGCTGCGCTCCCGTCCACCGCAGCCTCGCCTGCTGGGCTCCGGCGATCCTTCCGCCTCAGCCTTCCGAGTAGCCGGAATTACAGGAATGCGCTACCACGCCCGGCTGATTTTTTTATTTACTGTAGAGATGAGGTCTTGCTGCCCAGGCGGGTCTCGAACCCGCGGGCTCAGGCAATCCACTCACCCCAGCCTCCCAAAGGCGCGGGATTATAGGCTGAGCCACCGAGCCGGCTCAGAGTGATCTTTTTAAAACCTGCCAGACCAAGTCTCTGTTCCAAAACCTCCAATGGCAATCCAATTCACTCCAGTAAAGCCAGAGTCTTTACAGCAGCCTAACACAGCCCTTTAAAATCTGGTGCCCAGTTAGCTCCCTGACTTCACCTCAAACCACCACCCCTGTACTCCTCGCCCTCCCTGCGATTCCTGGAAGATAATTAGCATGCTTCCACAGTGGAGTCTTTATTCTGCCTATTCCCTTGACTTGGAAGCCTCTTCCAAGCACATATGCCCATGGCTCCCCACTCACTCTATTCAGCTTTGTTTGTTTGTTGTTGTTGTTGTTGTTGTTTCTGAGTAGAAGTCTCACTCTGTTGCCCAGGCTGGAGTGCAGTGGCACACTCATAGCCACTGGAGCCTTGACCTGTTGGTCTCAGGTGATCCTTCTGCCTCAGCCTTCCAAATAGCTGGAACTACAGGTGCATTTTTTGATTTATTTTACAGACTAGGTCTTGCCAAGTTTTGCCCAGGCTGATCTTGAACCCCTGGACTCAGGCAATCCTCTCACCCCCACGTCCCAAAGTGCTGGGATTACAGGCATGAGCCACTGTTCCCGGCCTCCATTCAGTTCTTTGTTCAAATGTCACCTCATCAGAGTAGCCTTTCCTTACCATCCTACATAAAATAGCATCCGTATCCTTCACTGTCACTTTTTCTTTCTTTCTTTCGAGGTGGGGTCTCACTCTGTTGCCCAGGTTGGAATGCGGTGGCACAATCACAGCTTACCACAGCCTAGACCTCCTGGGTTCAGGTGGCCCTTCTGCCTCAGTCTCCCCTGTAGCTGGGACCACAGGCACACACCACCATGCCCAGCGAAGTTTCTGATGTTTCGTAGGGATCAGGTCTTGCAATGTTGCCTAGGCTAGTCTTGAACTGTAGGCTCAAGCAATTCTCCCACCTTGGTCTCCCAAAGTGCTGGGATTATAGACATGAGCCACCATGCCCAGCTTTGTTTTCATTTATTTTTCATAGCTTTTACCACCTAACAATTCATATTTTTATTTGTTTACAGTCTGTATCCCACAGCAGAATGTGAACTCTAGGAAAGCAGAAATACTATTTATTTTCTTTATTATTGAGTCTCCATTGCCTAGAACAGGCCTGGCATGTAGTGAGTTTACCACAAATATTTAATAAATATTTGTCTTGAGATTAAAAATTAGATTCCTGGCCAGGCTCAGTGGCTCAGCCTGTAATCCCAGGACTTTGGGTGGCCGAGGCAAGTGGACTGCCTGAGCCCGAGGGTTCAAGACTAGCCCAGGCAATTTGGCGAGACCTTGTCGCTACAATAATTCAAAAACTTAGCTGGGCGTGATAGCGCACGCCTGTAGTTCTGGCTACTTGGAAAGCTGAGGCGGAAGGATCGCCAGAGCACAGCAGGTTGAGGCTGCGGTGGCCAAGAGGTGTACCACTGGCCTCCAGCCTGGGTGACAGAGTGAGACTCTAACTCAAAAAAAAAAAATTAGATTCCTCAGGTGGGCATGGTGGCTCATGCCTATGATCACAGCACTTTGGAACGCAGAGACAAGAGGATTGCCTTAGCCCAGGGGTTCGAGACCAGCCTGGGTAACATGGCAAGACCT